TCCCGATCACTTATATCTGTCAATCACGATGTATTTCGTTGACGGAAGCCATCTTGTAATAATTTTGGTAGAAATTTATTGATGGCAAATTGAGAATGGGTGATTTGAGTTGTCCAAAACTTCTATCAAACACCTCGACTAAGACTTGTTTCTTGATGAAAATGTGAATAGGGGATTTTTCCTAGGTTTTCTAGACATTCATCGTGTCGCGAAATTGATCAAATAACAATCCTCCAGGAAATTGTAGGGTAAACAGGAAAACAGTGATAAATACCGCTAACATATACATAGCTTAGTCATTACTATAAATACCGAATGTACTCTAGTAACGTGTTTGCTTGCTTTATTCATGATAAGGACTTTCTACATCTAATTTCTGAATTATTTTTCAGACCGTTTATAGAAATTATCAACGTATCACTCTTCAAGAAAGCCCAGGCAAAGTTCCAGCAGGTCGCCTTCCTAGGTCTAAAGACGCTATTCTTCTAGATGATCTGGTTGACAGCTGCAAACCAGGGGATGAAATAGTGAGTTGTATTTCAATTCAGTCAATCATGAGTCCAATTGTAGGAGTTAACTGGTGTATATACACATAGCTATGATGGATCACTCAATACCAAGCACGGTTTTCCAGTCTTTGCAACTGTCATATTAGCAAACAACGTTGTTCGCAAAGATGATAAGGTGAGCGGATTTCGGTCTTGTTTTATATATGCAGGTCGCTGTGGGAACATTAACTGACGAGGACACAAGAGCGATCTTGAAACTTTCACGTGATGAAAGGATTGGTGATCGAATTTTCGCTAGCATAGCTCCAAGTGTATATGGTCATGAAGACATTAAACGTGGCATTGCACTGGCACTTTTTGGCGGTGAACCTAAAAATCCTGGTACGTTAAAAGCTAGAAGTTTTCATTGTTGTCAAATCTTTTGGAACTTCAGTATATTGCAGAACCTACTGAAGGGTGAATATTTTGTCCATACATCCATTTCCAGGTCTGAAACCAGCCTGGTTCGTTCGCCACGAACTCTAGTTAGACGTTCAAGCATTATTGAAGCTAATATTTTAGACGCTATATTAATTGAAGTGATTTCTGTTCCTTTCTTATAAACTGAGACGATCAGCGATCGTGACCAGTCAGATAGGATTGCGTTCAGTCCCCAGATTTTAGCCGATACTCCGGTTAATTAAACTGCTAGGACTGGACCACCGTTTTTAAAAATTTCGAATTGATCCATCAGGTCCTGCTGTTCTCTCTCGCCTTAGACTACCCATAGCCTTTTCAAGTTCACTAAGAGTTTGAAGATGCTGATAAATTGCAGTCTTTTGGTAGCACTGAGCAACAATGCCAGGATGTTTGGGATGCGCTTCTCTCCCTCCAAATGCAAGTTGTTGCTTCAGGACTGGTCTGCGTCAACACCTGAACTAAGGATAGGGAGTGAAGTAGTCGAACTCGTTGACAACTTCACTTATCTCGGAAGTCTGATCATCCCTAATGGGTTGGTGTCTGACGAAATCTCAGCACGAATTCGAAAAGCTCATTTGGCTTTTGCCAACTTACGTCACCTATGGCGAAGGCGAGTTATCCGTCTATCAATTCAGCGACGAGTATACTGCGCGGCAGTTCGTTTCGTTCTACTATACGGCTGCCAAACGTGGCCTATAAGAGTAGAAGATACTCGTAAGTTACTAGTATTTGACCACAGGTGCCTTAGAAATATTACTCGCATCTGCTGGGATCACCGGTTAAGTAATAGTGAGGTTAGACGCAGGGTATTAGGAAATGATGGTAAATCAGTTGATGAGGTTATAAATCATCATCTACTGAGATGGTTGGGCCACGTGTTGCGTATGCCTGAACACCGGTTACTACGACGTGCAATGCTGACTAGGGTTGAAGACGTATGAAAGAAAGTTAGGGGCGGCCAAACGAAAACGTAGCATCAGTGCCTAAAGTCACCAACTTCTGGTCTGAGCCATGTTGGTAGATTCAGACTACCTGCTTGGGGTCCGCGTGACTATCGTAGTCAGTGGTTGGAGACTCTTGGTGTCATGGCTTAGAATCGATCACAATGGCGTCGGTGTATATACTCTCTTTCTTCCTCTAAACTAAGAGACTAAAATCGCTTCATATCTTTCTTTCTAGGAACAAATTCTTTCTTCCTGTACTATCTCCTTATATGCATATATATTTGGTGCCCCCCTGTACCAATATTTATGTGTTCAAGTAAAATAAAATAAAAATCTTTCTTCTATATATTACCACCACTGAATTAACTACTTCTATGAATCCGGTGTTCATCTTGTTGTGCTAATGCGGTACGGCAACTTGGACTGATGCATATATATGCCTGGTCCTACGTTGCAGCTGACTGACTCACTAAGTGTTGGAGGACTCGCCCCAGGTGTCTTGGTGTTATTGGGTAACTGGGGTGTATCTGAAGGCCAGTTGGGGTGTCCTTTAAAGTGTGCTGTACAGCGGTGCAATCTGGATTAAGATTATTTAATAGTCCCGTCTTTCTCCAAGACAGTTTCTTAAACAGCAGACTTCTGAATATCCGTCTCCTTGAAAAGTTCGGACAGTTATCTATCGCCACCGCCTCCCATCTCTTCTGTTTTCGCTACTCACGATCATTATGTTCTCAGCCAGACGAGATGAGTTTCCGAGTGCCTATCTGTTCTGTAGGCACCGCTGAAATTCACTGACATTTCCTATCACTTTTCTCTAAGTTACTGGTAGATATCACTGCTATTTCTATATCTTTTTGGATGTCGTTGCAAGATATCTCTGGTTGAACATCACTTTCGTGATTCACTAACTTCTCTATTTGTTCGTGAAAAATATTCTCGACTTTTTCAACATAAAGTCGAACTTTAAAGGGTTTTCTTTCTGTGGCCCAGATAGATGCAGAAAAATACGTGTACGGGCTAAGGCATGATCCCAGCTTGAACATATGCTCCAGAATGAATAACAGTCTTCGTTCCATCCCCTTACAACGATGGCTAATGACAATCTGGTCTGTTTGAATCAGTTGTGAGGTTCATCACACCAGACGATGCACTCCCTCCCGTTTTAAGTTAACGTTTGCCAGAAAGAGATGGTTGCAAAAAACTCACCATTATCCATGTGCTGAGCAGTAACACCATAAGATCCGCCTGTAGATCACCAGCGTGGATGATCTATGTCGAAATGATTGAAGGCTTACTCGAGTTAGACGTGAATGGTGTGACAAACTAGCTAACGTCGAAGTCACACTTCGCGGTCTGCACCTTACATAGATTACCCCATTGACGTATCAAGGTACTATAGATGCTTTGAAGACTGTACAACACAGAGGACGTTATTACAGAAATATATTAGTTAAAGAAGATACACGCGAAGGTAAGACCACTGCCGCATAGGCCAGTCCATGGCGTACGATTAACTGATGCGCGTTGGTTGTCCTTGACATTGACGAGGATTGATGATTTTGTTCGATATTCAATGGCTAATGCTCAGTGGAATTTCACTGGCCCTAATGGGTTGGTGTCTGACGAAATCTCAGCACGAATTCGAAAAGCTCATTTGGCTTTTGCCAACTTACGTCACCTATGGCGAAGGCGAGTTATCCGTCTATCAATTCAGCGACGAGTATACTGCGCGGCAGTTCGTTTCGTTCTACTATACGGCTGCCAAACGTGGCCTATAAGAGTAGAAGATACTCGTAAGTTACTAGTATTTGACCACAGGTGCCTTAGAAATATTACTCGCATCTGCTGGGATCACCGGTTAAGTAATAGTGAGGTTAGACACAGGGTATTAGGAAATGATGGTAAATCAGTTGATGAGGTTATAAATCATCATCTACTGAGATGGTTGGGCCACGTGTTGCCTACGCCTGGTCACTTATTTCCATGATGTCTAATGACAATCTGGTCTGTTTGAGTCAATTGTGAGGTTCATCACACTCGACAATGCTTTTCCTCACGGTTTACATTATCGTTTGACAGAAAGAGATGGTTATCGGAGCATAGTTGCAAATAACTCACCATTATCCGTGTGCTGAGCAGCAACACCGTCAGTTCCGCCTATGTGCTTTTCGGTTTGGTTTAGTTTATCCACTTCAAAATTAAAATCATCTGCCACTATTTTTAAATCACACTGTCTAGCTTTTTGGACGTTGAATAGCTTCTTATAAAATTCATCTCTAACCATCCCATCTACAGTCATTTGGAGGGTTATCGGAGAATAACTACAGGCGACTGCATGTGTCGCTTCGTGTTCATACTGTTCCACTTGTTCGGACAACATATGTCGACACTCTCTGCTCTTTTATTCAAGTGATAAATGTGTGGACTATTCCTCGTATGGCTTTTTTGTTATTTCCACACTTTGATGCTCTTTTTCGCGGGAACCGGGAATCCGTATGGTATGTGAAATTTTCAGTTTAGGCTCTCTTCAATTGTTTCTTTCTGACGTGAGGCGTCATTGCATTATGTGATGGTTTTCCGTTATAATCGACTTACTGCTGTCGTAATTTACCTAAAAGAACATATGTGACAACCAATACGGTTTGGTTGAGTCATCGCAATAAATAATGCCGACCACCACGTTGGAGTACTAGCTAAGGTCGGCTCTTAAACTTAATCCCTTGTCCTATTAGTTCCCGTGACATGTTTTTACTGGTCTGCATGATCGAATGATAATTGACATCAAGATGTGAGAGACATAGTTGCATACATTCACTTGTTCGAACTAATGGAATTATTACCATCTACTACATACTTAATCATCAGGATCTTATCATTATTTTTGTTTTACATCGGAACTGTTTGGAGCGTCAAACATAATTGATGTTAGGTGATGAAGAACGTCTATTAGCATACTATTGAAGGGAATATGTTTTGCATTAAGATTTTTTTAATCGGAAAAATGTTTTTAGAGTTTATAAACACGTGCGAGCTCATAGATCAAAATTAATTTTGATTGAAATATTGAGGAGAAGAATGACTGAAATTTATTTTCATAGAGGAAAATCGTATTTTTACTCAAGAATTTGAATGCATGTAGAGATTATGTTTCAAGAGAATACAAAGAACAAACAATAACATACAGGTGCCGAACAAACAGAATGCAAGTTACAATTACAATAAACCTAAAACAAGATATCTAATGAAGCCTTCAGATTTCTTCAGACACAGGACCTAACGTCATCTATAGCATAACAAGTATTGCTCCGCTTAAAAGTATCCGCAATTTTCCTCAAAGTTTCACCAGCATCTTCAGAAAGATCAAATTTTTTTGAGATGTCTTTGATTTTTTCAACTAAATGATGTGCAGTTTCCTTTTCACTATCTAGTAAACAATCTACTGCTAAAGAAAATTGTTTAGACCGTTGAAAACTTGCAAGAGTCATAGAAACCTTGGATATTACGATGCTGATATTATAATCAGATGATGGTAATATAGTGTCCATGTTATCAACAGCATGATTTAATACTGAAAGTATTTCAGGAAAATATGACACACCCAGTCCAGTGTTAAAAAGATTTTCCAATAGTTCATTATCTTGATTGAACAATAATTCTAATAATGCACCGTTTGTGTTAATGCTATCTGACGTGGATGATGATTTGATATGACGCCACTGTACAACGAATTCCTGTGGAGTGGTAATGGACTTCGTAGGCTGCAACAAAGCCAAAATATGATACATATAAGAACAATACATTTGTGGGTTATGTAAAAACTGAACAAACTTAAAAGCTAATAGAAAAAGAATTTTTCGGCACGACAAATTGTGTCAGAATTACCGGAAAAATTTTCTATCAAATTGTAGTTTCTGATAAAACGAAAGTAGCATAAATATTGATAGCATTATATATATATATATATATATATATATATATATATATATATATATATATATATATATATGCAATAGAAACAAAGAAACATGTTTCACTTAAAATCAGTACAATAATAGGATAAGCTGACTATGCATAGGAGTTAAAACTACCCACTATATTACTATTTTAGGATCAGTCAATATTTAATAATTATACAAACTCATTTTTTATAATCGGTTGTTAGAAGCATGCGGCACTCTCAGTCGCTTAACCTATTTTTGTGCCACAATCTTTCAGTGTTAAGTGAGGAGAATACTTACTGGAATAAGGCATAGTGAAGAATTGATCTATATTGAAATCGCACATATTTCAGTAAATAAATGGCAACACTAATTTATCAATTTTCAATTGTTACCTATACACTCTGTTGTTACTGTACACAACTAGCTGGAGGACAAGTTCATTTATAAAGTTGAAATAGTAGTGATAAGTTTTTTCTTCAACTGTAAATGTAGAAAAATAGCTAAGTTCATTTAAATTCTTGATTTTTATTTTCTTCTTATCCCACTCTCCTTTGTATATTACTTTATCCTGCTTATTTAAATTCAGTAACCCATAACACTTCTCATAACCCTTGAGCATCCTGGGTAGGCATACACATGTTATCACACATTCCTAAGTATTCACGTTAGCCGATAACACCTAGATTATTTGTTATCGCGATCGCTTCTTATCAACACCTGCAACAGGTATATTAGATTCCAGTGTATCTGTTAAAGGTTGGTTTTATTGTAACGGTTTCCATATCTTAGTGTCCGTCGTTCTCATTTTGAGATGGTCTGCCAGTATTATCACTTCATTCTGCTTAGAATATTTGTTGACATTTCACTGCTTCAAAACATTTTGCGTTATGCATAAATAGCATATCCCTGATATATATATATATATATATATATATATATATATATATATATATATATATATATATATACATCAATACCCTAATAGTGTTTGAAGTAAATAAAGGTGAGTACTTACGATAGCTGGATTCATTCCAGGTTCCATAAACAAGCTATTATTACTTGATAATATTGCTGAATAGTTCCAGCTGGACTTTTGACCAACAGTATTGGTTAGTTCTAATCGATCCAAAGGCTTCAAATGGCATCCAGCGACAAGCTCTCTAAGGAAAAGAAAGTGAAACAGCCTCGATCGACAGATAAGCCAATTAAAATTTTTCAAGTGCTTAGATTATTCAATGCAATCTATTTACATTAAAGCTTTTATTCGCAAAAGTGTTGTAACATCTTTTAGTACTGAATCATTTTTGAGAGCTGGCAAACGAATAGGACTATTAAAATACAATAGGTATATCCAGAGTTTGGCTGTACTGGTTGGAATGTAAACTCCTTTACTTTCAGTAAACCAGAAAGAACAAGTGTTCCAAATTAAAATCAGTTTATTTTATGCGGCTCACTGTCAAACTACAGTAGATATTTAAACTGGAGCTAAAGGCCAAAAATATGAAACCATTTTATTCTGTATCGTTCTTCTACCTAGGTAAACAAATAACTAGTAAAATACAAAAGTCTATACAGTATAGTATGTTTTGTTCAATGAAAGTAACAGAGAAATCATCCATTCATGATCCTGTTTGCAACTGTTCGTAAATCCTGTCATAGAGACGATGAAACTATTTAAAAATGTAGTAAGAAAGCGTAAAATCAAGGTTCTGAGATGTAATCCACAGGATACCTGTTTTGATTAGTCAAAAAAAAACAGCGAACAATTTAAAGGAAGTATGTATACCTACGATTAAATAATCAGCTTTTACAGTATAAAAATTGATGTGGATAAGATACCTGAAAAGTAATACATATCCAAATAGGGTGAACAATTTAGATGAGAACTAGCATGTAAGTCCATTTTGTAACAGAAGTCAACTGAAACTTAAGTACATCTGTGGTGTGTGCTACTGATGTCGACAGATATAAGTAGTATGTATCATCAATCGAAAGTGAAATATCTGGTGGCAGATGGTTAAGATCACAGAAATGAGAACGACAACAGAGAGTGATTGGTGTGGAAACGAAAGAACAATGAAGTATTTACTGCATGGTTTTCAGATTTTACTAAGATGTTCTGTACGTTTGTATCCAAACACACTCGACTGTCCCCACTTGTGTTCTCATTCATTACATATCGTTTAAAAAAATTCTCAATAACACTACAGGAATTCTCTTAAATATGTGCTAAAAATGCGAAAATTTTATTGCCGTCCTTAAATTCGATTTATAAGAATGATGAAATTTAACCTCGTATTTAAAAAGCTGGTCCAAAAAATTAATTACGGTTATCCCTAGTACATAGATTAAGAAACCTGAACAACTGGACCTGATCTCAGTCTAACAATTAGTGACTTTACTGCCTGACATCATATCTTTATTTGATTGTCACTAGCCATCTTTTATTATACTTTGACATCAGATGGGGGCAAGAAGCTGTTTCTAGATAAATAGGTGGTATTAAATTTTTTTAAGACTAAACTAGATTGATTCAATAATTCATTACTCACTTCGATTACATACTAAGTTTGTCCACTATCAAAGATTATCGAGTCTGAGTTTCGAATTTTCAGATGGATTTTAGGTATCTTTGTACACAAAAAATTACGCAACGTAATTATTACTTTTGATTTCATGTTCAATCAATAAACAACCGTTATCCAATAACCTATCCGTAATAGATTTTTTAATGTTACGCTTTATTTCATCAAAAATAATTCAGCCAGCACAATAATATTTTCATTATCAAATAAATATTTGATTGACAATTTGAATACCACAACATGGATATATACTTATTTAATATTCTGTTAACTATAGCAATAATACAATCTAAAAAGTAATTCTGATGTGTGCATATCAAAAAAAAACTTACAACAATCAGGTATCGTGAAACTTATGACAAAATGAAAATGTAATTTAGATCGGACAAATAATGAAGGAATGTCAGGAAAAAGTCATATTATCAATGCATAAATAAAAACTACTTTATGTTACTAACCTAAAATCATCATATGTTGGAACTCCTTGTTGAACAGCTCTAATTTTTGCATCATTTTCAAGCCAATATCTAGACTCTTTCGCAATAGCTGAATCCATTTCTTTTTCTAAGTTATTCATATTAATACCCAATTGTTTCAGATAATTATCATTTTGTTCAACCATCTTTCCAACTCTATTGTTATACAATACGATTTAAATAATTTAAAAAAGTTAATATATACTACACAAGTAAAGTGAGTATTTTTATAGAAGGATATGTATATCATCAATTTCTTACAATGAAACTTTCGCAGTCAAGATATTTTAGAGAACAACCAGTTTAAATCTATTTAATGTCAGGAGTGTTAGACAATATGAAAAAAGGCAAATCATTTTATGTCATAGTTAGACGGATTCGAATGTTCGACAGTTAAACAAATCTATTGTCACGACCTTATTGTAAAAAGAACGTTAGCTAAAAGATAAATCTACAAATTAATGTTAAACTTCTTTGAGTAGTAACAACGACTAAGTGGTCTTCCTGTCGTTTATGCTTGTAAAGATAAATGCGCCTTAGCATTAGAGTAGGTAAAACAAACATTCTAATTTTCCTTTTTATATGTAATATTTATGCTTTTTAACCTTTAATAGATATCTACTAAAACGGAAACTATGGTTCAAATAACAAATACTACACAATTTTCTGTTTTTTTTTGTATCTCATCAATTTAAATGATCTGAGTATTCACGACATATATTTACATTTTCTGAGTTAATGTTACAATGTCTAGGAATTTACAATGAATACAGCAGCCATTGTGGTGCATTCAAACAACTACGAAAAAAAAGGTTCTATCATATAAAGTATTATCACACATGTAGCTGTAATCCAAAACGTACTATAAACAAAACATAACCTAAGGTAATGTATTCAAGGTATAGGGAAGAAATTTATAGAGAATTAAATTTAACTGCTTTTTTCCCCGAAAGAAGTTGACATTTTGAAAGTCTTCTGGAAAACAAAACAACCTGAAAAATAAAGAGGGTGAAATTTAATGTTTAAAGTTTAATGTCATTAGTTCACAATAGTGGCCGAAAGATATATATCAATTAAACTTAATGCTGGCTGGCATCAAGAGGCTTAAAACCCACAAACCAGTCAACAGATTGTTGCAGATCGTTTATATTTAGTTCCATATAAATTTTATGCTAGTGTTTTAAAATTTTAAAAAAGATGAAAAGAGTTAACAGATAATACCTTTTTCAACCATCGGGTAAATATGGAAGTGCAATATGCATAGGAACTCAGATGAATCAGTAACTTGAAGACATATATATGCATCATATTAACTTTGAAATCAGGAGCTTTCTATTCTCTCGCAAAACACAACAAATACGCAGTAGGTTTAACAGGCATCATATTGAATGATATTGTGTTAAACATAACTAATAATCTAGTGCATATTCTACCGCTACTGTAACAATAATCTTTCCGAAATCATTCAGTCTATATTTGGTTCTTACGCTTAAAGTGATTATTAGCTTCACATGAGTCATCTAGCTAGGAAGAATTATATTGTTAAAATAGAACAGAATAAACAATTAAACCAAACACTTTGCACACAGCCGTAAGATACATTAATGAGGCCCTATCTTGACAAAGAGCTATATGAGAATAGGAAAAATTGCCAACTAACTTCAAAAGATAATTTTGCACAGTGAGAAAACAAACAATACAGAACGTAAAGCACTGAATATATCTAGAGTAGATATATATTTCTCAGTGAGCATTATTCTGTAATATATAACAAACTCCATTGTTCATTAAATTCATGGCATAGTAGTTGATAATGGAGATTGGAAATGTCAGACATACATAAGTATTTAATCAGTTTTTAAAGCACGAACAACAATACTACAAAAAACGTATGTTTCAAAACAGTATTGTGACACATTTTACACTATTTTAGCTAGTTGATCATTTTTTTTTTTCATTATAATTCAACCACCAATGTTATCAAATTAATTTACTGTTACAAAAAGTTTAAGTGGAAGGAACGTTTAGTTCCAAAAAGGTTGCTTCATTTTAAAAACAAAGATCGTGTAGTACGTTTAAGCATTTGTAAAGTATTTGAAAAGAATTTCAATAGAATAATGAGAAGACGGGGTTGATGGGAAAAATGTAATGTATACATTTTTAACAATCTGGTCACATATACCTGCCGAGGCATTTTATATGAAAATTAATAAAAGTCAATTAAAAAAAGGTTCCTTGGAAGACACATTTGAAATAATTGATATTCTTGATGACACTAATGTTAAAGAAAAGACTATGCATTCTTTTGACGTAAACTGTCTGTTTACAGATGTAACTTTAACCAAGACTGTTGATTTACTTTGTGACCATATATCGAGTAATTTCCATCTTTTCCTTATTCACTCAACACTGCTAAAAGAACTACTTTTATTGTGTACTGCGAAATTTCAATTCACATTTGAAGGCGAAAATTTTCGACAAGTTGATGGTGTTGCTACGGGTAGACCTTTAGGACCTCCCTTAGCTGATATATGTATGCCATATGTCGAAAGTATGACGAGTGAGCACATCCACGAAGTAACTTTGGATAGGAGATATATGGATGATATATTAGTCATATATGATAAAGACTTCGTTGCTGCTTTGTTACTACATAAACTCAAAAGCGTACAAAATGATATCGTAATGACCAATGAAGAAAGTAATAATCGATTACCATTTGTTAGATATAGTATTGGTCAGTTTGTAGGAAGCCAACCTGGGCTGAGCAATATCCAAATTTTCCTTTTCTGTCCATCGCAACACAAATATGGTTTGATAAAGTGTCTTTTCAACAAGACTCAAAGAATATGCACTACAGATACATTTGAAGAAGATGCGGAACTGCAACCTGACACACTGATATCAAACGGTTATCCACTAATGTCTGTGAATAGATGCAAAATTCAGTCAACACTAAAACCTCTCTTTAATTATGTTTCGAAGAAAACTGTTTATCTCTCTCTACCATATAGTAGTGGGTCAAGTAGTATGGTTTTAAGACAAAGACCAAATGAGCAAACAATATTACACTCCTAAACTGGTTGTGATTGGAAGTAATAAGCCAACGATTCCATATATGTCCAAGTATAAAATGTATGATCACGTCATGTTTGTGTGGACATAAATACATAGGGAGGAATAATCAGACAATTATCACTTCGTTTGCTGAATCTTCATTTAATTGACCTTTATAAATTTTCATATAAAATGTCCTGACAAATATACGTATGACTAGATTATTCGAAATGTATAGCGCAAATACATCATATTTTTCACATCAACACCGTCTTATTGCTCTGTAGAAATTTATAAAATGGACAAATTTCTTTAAATTCCAACAGTATACCTGACAAGAATCAAACATTCACAACTGAAGTGTAAAGAGATACAGATTAATGGAATAATTTTATTATCTGAAAAAAACATCAAAATAAAGTTATTCAGAATATATACATAATATAGTCTCATTTTACTATACAATTCAGTTTACCACAAAAATAGTCATTATTCGACAACACCTTGATATATACAAATAATTAGGAGGACTTAACACGTTTGCGCCATGTGAACTTTTCAGATGCACTTAACTCATCCCATCTAGATAGTAGTTGCTCAGCTAACCAATCTTGAGTTGGTGGAGCATTGAATGCTGTACGATGTTCACGTTTTAAAGATGGACCAATATGCTTTGCAAATAGTCTAAACGCAGAACGTATTAATTCAGGATCGTCACAATCAATATTTTCTTCATCTATATGTCCGGCAGAAGAACGCTTGTGAAGAGATGGTCGATTATCATTAGCATGAATATTTGAAACACTAGATACATTTTCACATGTTTGTTTAACATTATCTTGAACTATTCGAATTTCATGTATACCTGAGGAAGAATTCTTTGAATTTGTACAATGCGACAAATTATTAGACTCTTTAGTTGAATATTTGGCTTCTGTAAAAGACGACAAATTACTATCAAGTAATTCATCAAATGAGATAACAGATTGATAATGTAACAAATATTCCATGATTTTCTCATCATCAAGTGAATTAACAACGGAAGATGTTTTAAGTGATTCAACCTCCACCAGAAGATCTCTTAAACACGATGCTAGTACACACGATTCAAGCACTAAGTTGGTATTATGCAACTTTATTTCCTCAATATGTTGCTCCAACAATTCACAGGCCTTCAAACGCCAATCTAACTGATTTTCACCAGAATTGAGTATTTCTTCAACATGTTGATCTGATATATCTGATGATACAGAACTATTCATAACAAAAAGTAACTAATAAAAATCCACCTAAAATCAAAAATACATAACAAGTAGAAACGTAAGTAATAACTAAAATGAATAAAGTTAACAATCATTCAAGTTTAATGAAACACAAATTGTATCTGAGTGAAATGGAGTGATTAACGTTACATAAAAATTTCTAAGAGCAACCACATGTTTCTGAACTAGTAGCAGTAGAATCATTTGTCTGATATTCGACCATATGTCCTATAACTAGCCAGTTCCGTTAGAAATTTTGGTGAGCGAATCTTTTTCCGCACATAAACAAAATCAGTTTTCTTGTTGCATTCTAAAAGATTTTTAAGATCGCAAATGGTTTAGTCCTAATTAAACAGATTCTGAATAACGCGAATTGATAAAGAACCCCGACAACATTTTGTTCAGTCTTCTGTTAATGTCTTTTAGTTAGCTGTAACCGTAATCATTCGAGTATTAGTAGATTAGAATAACGCTAATTTGACAAACTTGGTCATAAAAACTGTTCAGTTTTTTGTTTGAAACAGGTTAGACTCTCCCAGCACTAATCCTCTCTCTGTATATATATATATATATATATAACCCTTGATTTTACAACAGTAGTGTTAAATTTAGAACCAAACACTCATATGACTTAAGTCGTGATGCTTTTAAAACACAGCCAAATCATACGTAAAAAACCAAAACATTATCATCAAGCATTGTTAAATCAGTAATAAAGCATTGAAAAAACTGTTTGTCGGTTAAAAATAAAATGGCATTTTATTGCATCACATTAAATAGAAGTAATACACAGATAGATTAATAAGTAAAAACATCATAACAGCAACAAATTAGGATCAGAGATGAATACAAATGGAAAATATAGAGCTTATAATGATACAAACCAAGACCAGTGAACAAAAATGAGATGAAATAGATGAAATGCTTCATAAATATACAAAATATATAGAGAGTAATCACAAAATATTATAACAGGAAACGAAACGAACTCGATATTACATTACAACGATTACAATGGGATTTTAAGAGCGGGTAAACATGGATTGATACGATTCATCCAGAAATTAGCACATGATATATGATAGTAACAACCAGCAAGATTGATATAAACTAAATGATAGTTAGTTTGTTGATGTTGAGAAAAACTGGATGATTCATTGCAATGATTATTAATACACTGGTCATTAGTCAAGCTGATCGATGAAAGACAAACTCCGCAATATGAGAACGTGGTTGAATTAATAAAATCTTGAATAATGAATTCATTTTCTGATGTTGAAACAAACTTAAAAGCCTGATCAATTTCATTCTGAAATCCAAGGAAGTTTATTACAAGTAAAAATGAAGTTTAAATAACTTTTCAATAAATAGTGAAGTTTAATTTTAGAAAATATAACAAATGACTACTGGGAAATGGATTATTTCCCCAAATATGATCAGTATCAATTAAAGGAGATTTCAAAATTTACATACATATTCATTAAGCTATCTACACTAACTTGAATTCGGTGCTTTAAAACTTGCATTTTTATTGGCTAACACTAGAAGACATCCCGAAATTTTCGACAAATACTCAGGGCCTGTAACGATACCTTAGAAACTCTCACAGATCATTAGAAATAGCAATTATTGTTTTAAAGCAACTAGTCCCTTTGATAAGTGTTGGTAGCGTAATAAGTAGATGTCTTCTCATTACACTATCCAAATTATTTTGTTGTCCCTGTTTAAAAAAACAGGTAACTAAGCATTGATGGATAAGTTTCACCGAAAATGCCGAATTGAGGTTTCTATCATTAGCTAGATAAAGGATATCAATAGGAAGTATTGTAACTGCATATTAGTAGACAGATTATAGGAAAAATTGATATTATATACGGGATATCTACTAAAGAGTTCGTTATCAATTTATGCAAACTCAGCAGAAAGAGTAAATTCATTGGTTATTCATGATTCTTTAACTTATGTCAGAAACAACAGTGGTTAGGAAGATTTTTTTCAAGCAAAAATGGTCTTTTACAAGTATTAAGAGTTCAAATTTTCGACCCAGGTATATGGTCGATCTCTAAAAGTGGTTATCAAAAATGTTTATTTACACTAACAGAAGTATTACCAACGAAGAAATATTTAGTCATAATCTATTAAAAATATGATTCTATAGTGAGATCCGAGATGAAAAGTGACTTTAAAGAGTACTATTACAACGCATTCAAAATCTTATTCTACTAACTCCCGACTTCCATCTTCAGATTATCTTGATCTTACATTTGTGTTATTGCTAATTTCTGTCGATTACTTCCATCACTGAATGTAAGCGCATTCTATATGGTGAGTTGTCAGTTCCTTTCCTTTTCAGATTTTCTCACACACAACGTAAATTGAAGCAAGACCAATAAATGTTTGCAACCTATTGATGGACTCATCCTAGGGCAATTCCAGTCATTTAGTCGAGTTATACACTATAATGCAGAAGTTTGTTTTAGGTCGACATGCAAATAACGAAAAATAACAAATATTTTAAAAATACCTTTAGATCAGTTACAACAGCATACGATGATAATTTACGAAATGAATTTTCAATATCCGAAAACAGTTGTGTCATAGATGAATCAAGTACATCTAAATGTAAATTAAAAGATAGGTATTGGGACTATTAAAATATATATATATATATATATATATATATATATATATATATATATATATATATATATATATATATAAACCGATAATGCTAATGAAATAAGAAAGTGAATTGTTTAAGAAGCATAACTACTCACTGTAATTCTTGGCTGAAATGCTAACTCGTCTCGTCATCAAATAAATTTCAGTGGCATCTGCAATAAAAGGAAATAACATATATGCTCTATGGTTAATTAAAGAAAAGTGGTTTCAAA